TATTCGGCTGGTGCACATGTACATGTATATGTACATGTATGTGTTTTCAGAAAGAAAGCTAGACCTGTTGCTGATGATGTCATTGTTGCTCCATACTTTACTGATCATGCCATATTGCAGGTTTTTGACCAATGACTCTGTGCAGTTTATTTTGGCAATTTTTCTCATTCATCCCAATTTCTCTTCATTTGTGAATCACGGGGGCAATATTTTCTTGGGTCATGACAACAAAACATAGGTCCTCAATAGTGAAACTATACAAATGTTACACTGCCCCCGTGATGACAAAAGGAGCCAGTAATGACCTCATCCGCACTGTTAACTCAGCATGGAGGGGTGATCTGTTGCCATAGTAATGCAGGATGTTCCACTGACCAGCAGGGGGGATGACAAGCAGTGTGCTTCAAGCAGCCAAGACCGGGTAGAAAAGACTGGTCTATGCCCTTATTAAAAAATAATTAAAAAAAAAATAACAATAAAAAATAAAAATCACGGACAATGACTTTCTGGATATAAACCACACACAAACCATCACCCTGCCTTAAAATATTGATAAGTAACGAGTATCCCCCTAAATGGTGGTGGAAAAGAAGTTAGACTTTCTGCTTGTACGCTTTGATGTTGCAGTGAGTTCGGTATTGGAGAAAAAAATAGATATATTTAAAAAAATGAAACAAATTTACAGACACAAATAAACCTTTAGAGGTGTCAACATGCAATGCAGTATGAGCAGAGGAAAGACCATGACACAAGACTCATGGAAATGATGAACCGGGGTAAAGAGCAACGTGTCCAATTTTTTTTTTGGTTGGTTTTGTTTATGCAATATGGTTTAAAGAACATTGATGATGATGAAACATGGCTTCCAAGTGTAATACAGTGCACAGAGAAAACACAACAAAAAAAACTACTGCAGTAAAAATCAGCTTGTCAGCAATAACATCCTGGTGATTATGTAAAACCGACTGTGTTGTCCTGAGAAAACTGGGAGGGCCATGGTATCTTTTACACAAATGATGGAAGAGCATTTGTAAGATAAAAGAAGAGCCCCGTATGCACAATGTGAATCTCCCTTTTAAGTTCGGCCCGCACAGAACAAGCCAAGTTTCATATTCTGTTCGGATCATAAACGGACAGACTGCTGTGTGAGCAAGAGGCATGTTTTACAGATAACAGACTGAAGGAACCCTTTCTTAAATTGAACAATTCAAACATTAAGATATCTGGCTTTTACTCAGGTGTCAGGACAACACAGGACAAGTCGCTGTGATATTTAAAAAAAATCAAAAAATATGAATCCTCAACTGACTGAGGGAGTAAAATTGCAGGGGGAAAAAATTGCTAGTATCAAGTGCTGGAGAAGTCTGAATGGTGTGACGGCCCAAAAAAGGAACAAAAATAACCAAAAAAAACCAAAAGAATGGAAGGACATCAAAGCTGACCATAATTAGAGCAGTTAAACTAGATGATATGGGAAAACGTAACACGAAAGGTGGGATTGGAAGGTTATTTTTGTGGAAGATGTTCGATCATCTTTACAAAAAATATCTGGTTTAGTGAAATCTTCCCGTCAATCAAACAATAGCACCCTTTATGAAATATTGGTCGCAACTGTCCCAATCAAGTTTTTTTTGCTTCCATATAATTCAAATCAGTGTTCTAGAAAATCAATTTGTTCCAAGTGATTTAACAAAATATAAAGAAGTTAAAGAAGAATTTCCATTGAAAATTACTGTATACATATAAATTACTATCATTTATGAAAGTAATGATTGGTGTTTTTTTTTTCTTTTTTTAAGTCGTACATTCAAATACTTTTGTTATAAAGTTTATTACAATCTAATTTATATTGGAAGGCAACCGTACAATTTTGAAAAAAAAAGAAGAGAAAACAGTCCACATAATTAAGCCATCATAAACAATACATATGTTGAACACTCGTTACAGTATATAACAATAAATGTTGTTTTTGAAATTTATATATATCTATATATATATTGGTTGACCATTAGCCTTTCTGTACTGTCGAAGTTTCTTCATTTGATCAATCACTGCATTAACAAGAATTTTTTTTACGTTGTCTGTTGTCAGCTTGTCGTTCAATTTAAGACATGCATGGCAGTGATAGTGTTATGAGCAAACAAGAGAGTAGGAAGTCATGGTGAAGTCAGAAATGGAGATGTATCAACTCAACAAAATTAAGGAATGGCTGATCTCTCATGTCTGCACAATCACAAAAAATGGTGAAATTCACATGAGTTATAAAATGTGTGCCATGTTCTGAAATTGGCAAACGATGGTCGATAACAACAACAACAACAACAGACCACTTTCATTTCTTTGGTCATTTGGAGACACTCCACTCTGAAAAAAACTTATTTGAGGTGAAACTTTGGAAACTGCTTCCAGGAGCACAAACATTGGTGATTATTGAATGAGGGAAAAAAATACCAAACTTGAGTATGGGTGGCTAGGGCAGGCATGAATCACAAATCTTTGTTGAAGGGGTGCACAGTTGTTAACAGACTCCCGCTCACATTTTGATCTGGTGAAAATTCGGCAAATGGAAAGGGGAGGGACAGTGAAAGCACAGAAAAACAACAACGTTTTGAGGCAGAACGCTTGGCAAGCACAGAGTAAATGAACTGTTGTTAATGCAGTGACTGGATGCAGCAGCCATTTTGTTTGGACTTTTGTTTGGTCAGACAGAGGGAAAGGTGGTGAAATCTTGATTATGTGCTACCTCGTAACTAGAAAAGGATGCAGGTCAGACGTCGGCATGAGTGTCTTACAACTACTTGTGAAAGGAGAACAAATGGCACTAAAGGAACGTGTCTTCACTTTGGATCAATTTTTATTTGGTTGGGACTTTACTCTGACTCTGTTTTGTTTGTCAAATCGTCAGTGTCAAGAAGATACATGTAGGTCATGTACATGTACACAATTTGCACGCAAGCTAGCAAAACGACATAGCAAACTGAAACATGCCAGCTGGAGGTGCATGTACATGTATCAACATTTCCAGTAGTTTTTGAACTTTTCTAATTTCTCGTAAGTGCAGTCAACCAAGATAATCTTCCCCAAATGTGTCTAAATATGAAACAAGCTTAGTTTCCCTGACACCCGTGCAAACTTCTGACCTGCATGTACAGTGTAACATGAACAATGGATTCAAATTCAACTAACAAAATCTGACGACAGAAAAGAAGGGAAATGCACAGTGCAACTGCCTTTGTGAAACTTCCACAAAATGTTTTCATTTTTCCATTCCCAACAAGTTACCAAATGATTTGATTACATTCTGACATTTCCCACCATGAAATAATCCCACACAAATCCCCGAAACACTGGATAAGGTGAACTAATGCCTTCAACAGGCAATCGGGCAGTGCATGATGAAAGCTCGTGCCAGATTTCCCCCTTCGAATCACTGGAGTATGTACAGTTGGTTACATGGTGAAATGCTTACATAAAAAAATGTGAATAAAATAAATGCCACCATCTAATGAACATCTGTGTAGTGATGGACTGACGTCTAAGAAAACTTGTTATTTTTTTCAATTGGCGAAGCATGCAATAGGCAACTAGCTAAGACTACAAATGACAAAATAAAAACCAAAAAGCAACATACGGAATCAAGAGAATTGAGACAAAGCTGATTTTCAACACGGTCTTTCAATTTTGAAAAAAAAAAATATTTCTGATCTTCTGAAAAAATTATTTGCCCTTCAGTCCTAGAATCATGTCAGTCAGTACGTACAAAACAAGGAAGAAGGCTGGTTGTCGACAACACTTTCCGACTCAAGACTATGTGAAATTTCATCTGGCCAATTGAAGAATGGTATGGCATCATGTGACCTCATGCAAAGTACATGTTTTATATGTGGATGGCATTTTTGAATGTCGAGGTGTTTATACTGAGATGAGTTTTGACGGTCTGTGGCCAGCATGCAAATGTTTGGCAACTAAAACTAATGCATGTTAAAAAAACAAAAAGAGAATCAAAACAACCAGCCTTCTTCTTGCTGTGCTGCACTTTGACATAAAATGCACCGTTTGATTGTCACTGGTAAGAAATTACTTATGATCACTACACATTTTTAAACAGATTTTGCACCATTTATGAAAAAGTAACTGGTCACACTATGTACATCTTTAATCACAAACAACTCACATCAGCACCGATCATAAAAATGAACATGTACGGAGGTTTTTGAAATGTCAATTAAAAAAAGAATTTGCCTTAACTTATCAAGCTGTGATAGTACTCTGCAATTGGGAACCAGTTGCCATGGTTTAATGCTCTAAATTGTTACAACAGACCTGTCAGCTTTGAAACAACACCCTTTTAACATGGTGAGGCAAAACATGTATGTAAATCATCCAATGAACAGAAGTGAGTGGAATTTTATACCTAACGGAAAAAAAAACACAACAAAGCCCACGAAGTATTTTGTGTTTAAGAACTGATGGCCAAGGGGGAAAAACATTAAGCATAAAAACTGTTCAGTAAAAAGGTTAGTAGTGGAAAGACGGCTTTTTTGGGGGGGGGAGGACAGCAGGTGAGAGAGTGGTGTGGATGGTACAAACTCAAAAGGGAGGGCGGGATGGATGGCAGTTATGTGGGCTTGCACTGCTGCTCCTGGATATTAAAACAATAATCCTGTCATTGCTACCCGGCACCAATGTTGGGAGGGGGGGATGGGAGAAAGAGTGGATGGACTCCAGTCATAGAGAGGATCAGGACTGGTTTCATCTTTCTGGTGAAACGTCTAAGGCAACGGTCAGGCTGGTTATTCAAAGCGTGCAGGATATTGCACCAAAACAAAAATCATCGTTGTCAATCAAGGCTTCACATTTCATTTCTGTCATCTCTTTTTTTCTTCTTTTGTTCAAAATTGAACAGTTATAAATACTGGTTTGATTTTAATTCCTTTCTTTTCTGTACATTTTGGCAAATCAAAAATGGACTGAGATGTTTTTTTTTCCTTCTATTCTTTCTTCACTTTTTAAGATTTTTTTCTGCCATTTTCTACGACTCACTTTGCATAAAGAAAGGAAAAAAAAAAAGCCAGAAAAGACCTCTGTATAAATCACTGATACTCATTCATCCAATCATTCACTAAAGAGTTGATGTGACAAAACACAAAAATAACAGGATTTCTCCTCATATATATTTTTATACACTTACTTTGGTGGGATTTAAGGCTCCAATCTTTGCCCCAACTCTTCCTCGGTGTGTCGAAGACAAAACGGCGATCATTTGTGGCTTACTATCCACCGCTCAAAGTTGCAATGGCAGAGCAAAATCTCGTGAAATGTCATCAAATCAAACTGCACAATTCTCCTGTCAATCTTCTGTTTCTACATCTTTGAGATTTTAAATTTGTTGCTTTCTTTTGACACACAAAAGTTCATCTATTTTTTTCCTGCATGAGTTAGACACTTTCAACTCATCACTAATCAAGGTGTTAATCATGTCTTTCTGCTCGTTTCCAGGTAAAATTATGCGGAGAGTCACTTCCAGCTTTTATGATTTTTTTTCATGGTTCGCCATCTAATTCTGATTTGTGACTGAAAGCACACATAAATTACTACCCCTTGAACAAAAATGGATTGATCCTGCTGGTGTGCATGTTCAAAGGGACCCCTGGAATTGATTTCACAAGGCACGGTGTTGTCTTTTTTCTGTCAAGTGTAACGTTTAGGCTTCACTTTCAAGGTGGAGACAGCAAAAAAAATTGGGCCTATGTGGTCCCCTTTAATGCCCGGTTCTGTTCTTCTTGAGCCACTTTTTGAGTGATGAAGAAATGGGCGAGCTGTGCTTGATTTGGGGCTCCCGTGATAGTGACTTTGCGGTTGCGTGTGCCGGGGACATACTCCCCTTTCTTCGAGATCTGAATCTTGGCGCCCGAGGTGGTTTGAAATTCTACCAAAGTCTGGCCCCGCTTGCCCAGAATAGCACCGACGAGATTCTCGGGAACCTCAACCTCCAGAATGGTGTCCCTGGTCGGGTCTTTGGTTCCCAAGGATTGGGGGGGCTCCTGCGCCAGCGCTATTGCACCCAGGCCACCCCCGACGCCGGTCAGGCTGCCCATGGGAGCCGCCATTCCGATGCTAGGCACTGAGGACTCCTGCAAGTGATGGCTCGGGACGGTTAAGGTTGGGGAGCCGTTGAGGACGGGGCTTTCGGCTGCAGCTGGACTGGACAGATTCAGAGGGGTGGGGAGAGTTGTTTTGGAATTGCCGGTGACTGCTGCTACCTGGTACGCACCTAGCAAACCAGAAGGGATCATCTGTGTGGGCTGCAAATGGGCCGGGGTGCCTGCGTACAAGGGATTGGGTGCTGCAATACTGGCCGACATGGGCAGGCCCCCTATGGTGTAATTATAACTAGCTAAGGTATTTAGGGCATTAATGGCTGCTGCATCACCTGTACTATATGATACAGTTGTAGGTACCCGGGCATAAGACTGCGGCGTGATAGACACGCTGGGAGTGCCAAGGGCTGTCGCCGGGAGCCCTGTGAGCCCCACTGGGGCAACGGGGATCTGGGCCTTGACCACGTTGGCTGGCATAACCGCGGCCACGGCGCCCTCGGCAAAGGGTGAACCGGTGGGGTTGGCGTTGGCCACGGGGAAGGTGGCTGTAGCGTAGCTCAGGTTGTTGCAGCTGCCGCTTTGTGGATCCTCCTGCACCTTGTCGATGATGAAGGACAGTGCCTTCTTGTTGGGCTCCGCCTCCCCGGTGATGGTGATGACCCGCTCTGTCAGGGTGATGCCATCCGACTTCTGAGAGATCTGGACCCGGGAAGCACTCTGCTCCATGATGTGCTTGATCATGGCCCCGGCCTTACCTATGATGAGACCCGCTGTACTATTGGGCACAACCACTTTGACCTGTCGTTCAAAGTCAAGACAAAATATCGGATGAATAAGATTAATCTGAGTTTGCGTTAACCACTTGCTGCCGGGGTTCCCCGTTTCAAGCACCATGGGTTTATACACAGAGCCAGGTTACCTGAAATGGGACAAAAGAACTGGTCCGTGTAACAAAAGACCCTACTCAGAACAAAAGACCTGCTTGCTGGGAATTGCCATAATTTTTCTGCTTGCATTTTTCGAAGGTACTCCGTCACTGTTTTTAAACAGTATACCACTGTTTTGGGCATAGTGTGCCCACGGATTAGCATCGCGGACAAAAGTGCTCCAGGGCCCCATTGATGAGCGACATAGCACTGCTGCACGCTAATCTAGCCACGTTTGAAAAGATGGCACTCGCATTCACTGGGGACAAAGGAAATTACGCAACACCTTACAATTCTGGGCTCTCTTTACAGGATGGCAGGCCTGGCTGAAATACTCAGGAGTCAATGAAGGTTTATCTGTCAGCTTAGAGTAGCCACCAAACAGTCTTTTGTGTGGGTGTAACGTCCATTAAAAGAACTGATGAAATTCCGAAGAATTCTGAAAACTGAAAATCGCCCGTATGTGTGCAATGCATTTTTAAAAGCACCCGGCAGCAAGTGACTAAGACACATCCTGCAAGGGAATCCTTGCTTGAAAAATGGATAATTACAAAACAACAATGAAAATTACTGAGATCAGTTAGCAAATAATAAAGACTACAACAGAACAAAAATTATCATTGCGATTCAAATTTCAAAACGTGCAAGCTCTCAACTGCATAAGTAAGACAATCAATATCTTCTTCCCTGTAATTAAAGAAACACCTGCTTTTTTAGCTGCAACTGTCCAAATCCATGTGCTGATGACCAAGGCTGACAATCTTGGCAACATTATTCTGTTACTTGACCTTGTGCTTCAAGAAATTTCAAACCCGCAGTTGTTCAGGTTTTTGTTCCCCATGGTCAAAACGTGGGATGACACATTTTCTGTGCTTGTTGTGGACGGGAAAGGCTGTCTTGCCTTCTCCTGTGATCAGTATGGAGTAAAATGTACAGTGCCAAGGAATGATTTCTGAAATCAAAATGCAACATACCACACCTAACTCTTTAGGTGTGGCTTATTTCAATTGCATTTTGACCGGCTTAAGCTATTCGAAGGCATGTAAAAACTAAAAAGGATTGCAGTATGGAAAAACCTGTGACAGCAAATGCCAAAGTCACATTGACTCCAGTACACCATAGAGGGCAGCCTTTAAAAAACAGAGGTGGTACTCCAGAGATAAAAACATGTACCTTCATTGTGTTTGTAACCTAACATTACATATATTTTATAAGCAGCTAGTCAATAGGTATCTGCAACACTAACTACTATTAATACCGGTAGGTGGGAAAGGCTTGCAGTTGCACCGTGCAAAGGAAAATATCTCTTGTGAGTATGTGTGGTTCTGAAAAGAACTGGGAGTATACTCAACGTTTCGGACTGGGTGCTCAGTCCGTCGTCAGGAGACGCATATCTTTACATTTTTGCTCTGCACTGTGGTCTTCCTTAATGTCAACTAAAATGAGAAGTGTACCTTAAAATATTCAGGGAAGATTTTAATAGAGTGGCAAAACTCCTTGCGGGAAATACTGCTGTAAGGCCCACGTGACTTACAAATTTTGCCAGTGAAGTTTAGGTACATGTAGTTATGTAAAACAGTCGCTTAAGGACTGACAATAAGTCACACTAGTCTCCCCTCAAACTGAGGAACTGTAAAAAGTGTGTAGTATAAACTATATACATGTATATGTACATGTACATCATACAATGATACATGTACATGAAACAAGAAAGGTCACCAGTGGAATTCGAGCTTAAAAACACCAAATATACATGTCATTTTTTTAACCCTAACCCTCCTCAATCCTCCAACAGGTGAAGGATTGAGGAGGGTAAGGGTTAAGGTAAATTTGCTTTGTCATTTATATATATTTCACTTTGATGACTCCTGAGGTTAGTGACAATTTCTGAGGTCTCTTAATTCTCTGCCACTAAATATAATATCTAGCTAATGCTGTTGGACAAGATGCTTTCTTTTTTTACCATGCACACATGTCACATGATACCATGTATGTTGCAACGCCCTGTGGGGTAAATAGCCTTTGGTAAATATTAACAGAGGCCAACCACAGCTTGTTCCCTATCAGCCGACTTGGTCCAAAGGTTGTATTTGCTCCAGATAAAATAAAAATATGAGGAGCCTTTGTGTGCACATGCGATTGGGCACATACAGGTCAAATCCTAATCATTTACATCTTTACCATGGAGATGGGACCTGGATTGAAATGTACAGGGACAAGGGAAGAAGAGAAAGAGAAAAGGATTATGGTATGGTTGCTGTGAACAACTGCTATTAAAAGGTGTGCAAATACCCTCCACTACTACTGAACCACTGTACCAAGTACTCACATACACACAGGTTGTGGGGTTGTAAGTACAGGTATATGTTCTGCACTGTTCCAACCTCACAGCAGGGAAATGCAATGATTTGTTTCCATATTTACATCCAAGGTGGTTCATATCTTTTTTTCCCCCTCCTCAGTCCCAGGGACTAGCAGGGCTTGTATCGACCAAGCGGTGAACTGACGCTCCCTCAACCTCATAGCTCCCACTGACAAACCCTAGCAGCCTGGACAGATTGGGTCGATTTCATTCCCAAATCAATTGCCAGCCGCAGTGTTTTCGTTTGGCGGCTCTCGGTTGGTCGTTTGTCAGCCCGAGTGCTGCACTGTCACCTGCCCAAATGGCAAGAGTTAGCCCACTCGCCGGGATTACACCAGAGGTGTTTGAAGAGTGTTGTGCTACACAATCACCAAAATGAAACCGGATTATTAAATGAAAATGAAGAAAATGGGTCTCATTAGGGATAGAGTAATTCCTTTCAGGTTCTACACACTGCCCTGGAAAAAAGAGGAAAGCAAATATGGGGGGGGTACCTTTAACTAAATTAGAAAAAAGATATAAGGTTGTTTACAGTGGGCGGTTTATTGCTTCGATAGAATGGCAGTCATGCACTATGGATAGCCTCGATCAGCAGATCTCACTTTTTCGCCCCCTCAAAACGTGATTGATTTGAAAACCTGGAGTTGCCGCCCAGAAAATGTCTACATGCCTCCCTAGAAATGCTCTTAAATGTATATAAATTTAATCCAATAATAAATTGGAGGACATATTTTGTAATTTACAATATGTCCCCAGGAACTCCTTGACACATATAACTTACAAACAATCCTGCATACATGTAGGACTACTGGCATAAACAACCCCGACAACCTTAATGAACACAGTCTGTAATGTGATTATTCATTTGCCTGACCTGTTAAAAATTTCAAATGGGAGGGGGATGAATACTGAAATCCCTCACTTCTGTTCAATGTACCATTACTGTGAACATTATTTCTATTCGACCCTACCAGCGGAACTAGTCATCAGTCAGCGTTCAGTGCAGTTGTTTAGTGCTAGAAAAATGGCTTGCATGTTTGCTTCACGGTGAACCTTGACATCAAAGTGATCTTTCTGCGAACAAAATCTTGCAAGTGTAAGTAAAAACAGATTAATTTCTTGTGGTTTAAAAGAATGACTTCCGGTATTCCAAGAAATCAATGTAGCTGAGGCATGAGACAGAGCCCCTGACTGCAAAGATTAGCCCACAAGCTTCTTGGGATTTTGTGGTTGATCTCAGACAACTCCCCTACCTCTCTGCAAAATATGAGTGATGCGGAGGCCTAATTCTGAAATTGTAATTACGAGAATCCAGTAAAAAAAATTACAAAAACATGCTTCAGTGTGCACTTAAAAGACGTTATTCAGCCACTGATTTAGATTTGATTTGAAGGACCCACGGTGATCCAGCCTGACTGCCCCCTCCCCAAGGACTAGAAATTCACTCCAAGGGGAAGAGTTGAATGAACCTAGGTATACATGTGGCCATGATGTGGCATAGGCCTAGGGCCAGACAATGAGCCAACTCTTGACAGGGGGTGGAGACATGATTGACCTCAGTCAGCACAATGTGACTGCAAGTACAGATGAAGTAACAAACATATACATATACATGTATCGGGTACAATGTGGACTCCCAATGCCGTATGTACATACAGGTAAGATAAGTACTGACCCTTGAACTGAATGTAACATAATTTGAAAAATTCAGTGGAGTAGGAAGGAGGAAATAAAGAGGAAGGACAGACAGGACTGGAAATTGGTGTAGTCCCTAAATTGAGAAAATTACTCGTAGCGTAACTGAAGCAAGGAAGTGAAAAACTGGGGGCTGGATGGGACCCCAAGTTGACACATTTTTTGGACATTCAAATTCAATGGAGTGGGAGACAAAAATTCTCAGTTGGATTGGACCCTGAATTATATTGGCAGGTACAGTGATAAAATTTTGTGACATACTAATCGGAAGAACATGAAATGGAAGGGTGGACAGAGGTTAGGGTCGAGGACATCAGGGACCACTGGAAATGGTGCAGACCTGTAAAGGACGATGTATGCGGCTCGGGAAAACTACATGCAGTTGGTTACATCACCATTTTGAGGCACCCACATGTAGGCCTATACTGGTACTTAATTTGACAATAACATGACAGGCAGCACACTGCTTGAAGTGTCTCAGATGAAACAACCACAGGCAAAGTGGATCTGTACAACATCAAAAGTGTACACACAAACACAAAATCAAAAGAAACCACAAAAACCAAATACAAAAAGTTTGATTTGCACAGGAAATTTCCTGTAGTTGACATCTTATTGATTCCATCACTAAGGTGCCCTTTGCAGTTGGCTATATTTGCTGAGCTAGCATAACAACTCACAATGCGGTTATCCCTCGTGCCTGCAATTCTCAGCAAGGGAAAATTATGCCTTGTGAATGACAAAATACCTGCCTCTGTTGCTTCAGACAACACGGCCAAATCTGCCCCCCCCTCCCACTTCGCTTCTCAGTTCCC